ACCACAAACTCATGTTCCGTCATTTGATACGTGGAAAAACTAGGCAATGGATGAAAAACTAGAAATTTGAACATTACCTATAACCGGGGATTAAAAACTTTTGAAATGCATCGGCTGCCAGCACCATTTGTTGGGCTTGTAGGCGAAAAATGGCCTTTCCATCTTCATAAAATGGTCCCGAACGCGGTACATGTAATGACATCTTCGGTGAGTGTTTGAAACCATTAGCAAACTTCGATTTCAATCTCGCCGGAGCCGGTCGACATTACCGACCATTTGTCGAGCATGTCGGTTACTCTTTGTGCCACCAATGGAACTAGCAACTACAATAAAAGCAAGAGTTTTGTTTTAATCAAAAGTTGATGTGAGAAACTAATGAAGTAATGAATGGTTATTAATTTTTTGAGATTCTCCATATGGACTTCAACCACTGCAAAACACCCTCCATTTTTCTTCAACATCCAACTAAAAAGAAGAAGAAGAAGAAGGGAAAGAAACAAATAGCTTTGGCTTCTCTCTTTTCGCACGGTCTTCTTCCTTAGTGTGGAGCAGCCTTTTTTTGTTTTTGCTTCTTATCTGCTTTAGATTATGTTGGTTTACTTGCTACCCTTTGTTGGCCTTTTATTACTACAACGAAAAGAAGAGAGAGAAAAAATGTTTAAGTATTTTAAAAAAGAAAATTACAAATAGGGTAAACTACAAATTATACTATTCAACTTTTATTTTATTCCTTCTTACATCATTAAATTTTGAAAAAAATCAGCATAATCATTAAACTTCCAAATTACTTTTAAATGCTTAATTGGATAAATAATTAAATACTACTAAATTAAATCTTGATGTTGAATTTAAAAAGCAAAATATATATTCATATAGAATCAAAACATCTGAGACAATGTTACAGTTGTTCTTTTTCATTTAGTATCTAGGTTTTCTTTAATCTATATTTTTAGGATTTATAGGTTAATTTCTCACTAAATACAATAGACTTTATTATTTCATTATAAGAAAAAAAATTCAAAATATTAATATGGATTAATATTAAATTTATCAACTGCTAAATATATAAAAGAACAGTCAAAATACGAAACACTCACCAACCTTGCTTTCCATTCAAAGGCTACAAGTCTTGATTTCCCCATTGGAAACCATAAAAAGATTAGGTCAGACTTCTAAAAAAAGGAATTAGGTTAGATTTAAAATGTTTTTAAATTAAATAGTTTATTTATCACAAGCTCTTTCCTAGCTTGGTGGATTTTTCTAATATTAAGGCATGATTGAAGGAAAACAAAGATGATGCGCGGATTTATTGTCTATATGTTAATGCTTATAGGCGTCTATTGTTAGAGTTTTGATCTTCTAGGTAATTGCAATTATTTTTGAAAATTAATCATTTCGTTTTGGTGGTAACTTAATTATATTTTGTTATTGTACGAACCAACATACCTCAGTAGTTAAAGTAATCGTTGTTGTTCTTAGAGGTCACGAGTTCGAACACCAACAATTGCAGCAGGGTGATTGAGTATTCATTGTCAAATGGTTTAGAATATTTAAAACATATACTACTTGTAATCACCTTAGCTTAATAATATATATATATATATATATATATATATATTATGTTACCATTTGATCTTTTAACATTATTTATATAGAAAAAATTAATATATAAAACGTGTAAATCAAATATTTATTTGGATATTATTTGTTTTATTTAAAGTTCAAACTCTAAATAAAAATAACATATGTTGACGTTGGGTATCATATTTATGATTTATACAAAAATAAAGACATGAAAAAGGCACGTATCGAACAGCATACGAGAGTAATTGATAACGTACAAGCAAGTCCAAAGTATTGAAGAGATCACATGCGGCTGAGAAGTCGAAAACTTCAATTTTCTTGATAGTTATGATAGGCATTGTCACGATGATGGGTTTGGAAAGATAGATCGAAATGTCCCATAAAAATAGATTTTGGAGAGTTAAAGATTGGCTGTAGACAAAACAAGGAACATAAGTATATATGTAATAATCTTCCCGTCTCTCGAAATTTTCAACTTTATTGGTTAGAAAAGAATTTTGATTTTATCCGATCCAATTACACGTATAAATATAGCGAACCAATAATAAATATATATTAGTATATATGTAAAATAAAAAGGTTTGTAAGTGAAAGGGAAGGATATATATTGTACCCAAAAAAATGGAAGAATATATAAAAAATTCCAAATCCTAGTTCCCAAAAAGATAGAATTTGAGGGAAGGAGGGGCACAAAGGGGGTAGTCAATTTGGAACGCTACTATTAAATCGACTCACATGGAAACAATGGCTTGTCTATTTTTAGGGTTCCCCCAACTTTGGTTTAGGGTCAGCTCATGCTTTTCCTTCACTCAACATTTGGGTACCCACTCAAGCACTCTCTCCCTAATCCACTCCTAATACACCCACAACATGTTGGGGCCATACGCTATAAACGAATATAGTTCAACCCTTAGCACTGTTTAATTGAAAGCTTCTTCTCCTTTTTCTTTTGGACAAAGGGTGTCTTGTCTTAAGAACACAAAGAAACAAAAATTGTTTGTGAGGTTTTTAATTTCATGTTTTATTATGAGTTTAGACACAAACGAACCATTCAAACATATATATATTTTTTAAGACAGCTTGATCCAATGAGTTTGCAAAGGTTTTGACCGATCCGTCTTGTAGAGATGATGTTTGTATTTATATCAAATCCTTTTTCGTTGGAAACAGTAGCAAAGATATCCTTTTGTCCACAAGTACATAGATGGTGATCATTCAACCATTTTTCAAGAAAATGTTATGGGGACATATAACATCATTTTTTCCTTGTCTAGAGTTAATCCAGAATAATTGCACACAACTCAACTATAATTTAACTTAAACCAGTATAAACCTATAACTTAGAGTGCAACCTAGCCAAATAAATTTGAGCACTCGTATCTAAATCCAAATAAATATGTGGAACTTAACATCAATTCATAAATTAAAAAATATTATATGAATTTTGTCTCACCACGTTATTCACAGTCTCAATTAATAAATATTACATTTTTAAAATTTTTCTTCATATCATTATTTTCAAGGATAAAATCTTCACTTTTCTTCTCCATGTAAACACGAAGTGGACAATTACTTAAAAGTTAGTTTTGAGTGAAATAATGACATTGAGGGGGAAAAAGATTTAAGCAAGTGGTTTTCATTGATCAAAACTATAAATAGCGTGATAAGAAGAAATCATGAAATAATTGATCTACTAGCTCGTAACGAAACTTAAATCTTAAATCTTGAAGTTACAATAATCCCAACCTTGTCATTAAACTGTTGGAAAAATAATAGATTAATTGAGTGATATTGATGATATTATAATAATGATTTTTTTATTATAAATATGGTTTTAAAAAAAAATCATTTCTCATTATTGAAATATATTATATTTAGAACACGAGTTATTATTTTATGTTCTCTATAAACCAATACAGTAGTAATAAATATGAGTTTAAACTAATGAATCTCTTCAATTTCAAATTGAATAGCTACAATAAGAATTCTAAGAGAGGTTTTATTTGAGGACTTGAGATAGTATTTTTTCTTTTTTAAAAGGTGAAGTTGTAAATAATGATTTTATTTATTACATTCCTGCATGACAAAGATACTAATGGACAAAGTTGTTGGAATATAAAAAAAAAACCTGCAGTACATTTGCTTTTTTTTATTTCATTAAAGCTGCCAACTTCTTCCATCTAATAACTTAAAAAAATAATCTACTAGTATTTCTTCAATTTTTGAAGAAATAATACATGAAATTACTTTTATTTTGCTATTAAAAAATCAAAATAAAACGAACCCTGACACTGGTATAGTTATGAAAATCATGCACTGACATGAAATTTGGAATATGATCAGACGGAGTTTATGGAAGAAAATAATTGAACACCAATCATAATTTTGGACTCATCTGCCAAGAAAAAAATAATTGGAGTAGACTGCTCGTTACTTTTTTCACCTCATCTCTGTGGAAGAAGTGAAAATAAAATAAAAGAGTATACCTATCCATCTGAATTTATATTTAACGATTAAAGGTATTTTGTTAAATTTAATATCATAATTGGTGAAGTAAAGAGAAAAGAAGGGATTTGCACATATGATTTGGTAGCAAATCCCTTGACAACTACCATATATCATATCATTAACCCTAATCCCTAAATTTAGCTACACAAATAAAAAGGGGTTTTTTCTACCTTTGAAGAATGGACACATGTAATTCCATTTATGGCACAATGTGAGGAAAATAGAAAATATAATAAATAATAGATAAACATTTGATATATCATAATTAAAGCTCTGAAGAATCCATATATACTCGATGTCAAATCCAATTTGAAAGGGAAATTGGACCTAAGCTTTCATCATGGTGATTTTCATTAATATTTATATTTATAATTTTTTTTTGGATAATTCATCAATTTTATTACCCAAAGAAGCATAAAATGCTACAAAAAAATACCGATCTCAACACCTAATGTACAAACTACATACAAAAAACATCAGATCGGTTCTAATATAAACCCCATGAAGTACAAAGGTTAGAGTTAACTCTATCAGTCCTATTAATGTTTCCCCCCCTAAGCTTGATTCCTACAAATTCTTTGATGCAAATCAGGAGATCATCATTGGCTCGGTGGTAACCTCTAAATATTTCGTCTGTTACGCTCCTCCCACAAAAGGTATAAAGAAGCACACCATGCAAGCTTAAGGATTGTACATAAGAGAGACTTTCCTTTCCAAGATCTAGAAGCCCAAACTAGCAATTCCTCCCATGTTGAGCATTGTTTATTGATGCTGCTGAGAAGTAGAATATTTTTCCATAAGAATGAAGCAGTATCGCAGTCAAAGAACAGGTGGTTTCTAGATTCCATTTTATCATTGCACAGCACGCAATTCCCTTCGGTGATAATTCCCATTCGCATCAGTCGGTCTCAGGTTGGCAGTCTGTCGAGGATTGCCATCCAAGCAATGAGACTATGCTTAGGAATATGTTGTGGGAACCAAATCAGTGAATGCCAGGGAACTTTGATTTCCTTCACCCTAATCTCCTGCCAAATGTCTTTATAGAGGATGCCCATTCGAATAGGTGTGGTGCTGCACTGCGTAATTTGAGGATACGATTGAAACTCCAGCTGAAACTGGCTCTGTTTTCCATTTGCCACAGATTTCTACCCTTTATTACATAAGCATGATTCCAAACAATCCATAGAGAACCCTCTCCAGCCAGTAGATTCTTTAAGAGTTTGATCAAGCAAGCTTTATTCCAATCTTTAGGTTTTTTCAGCCCAAGACCACCCTCAGATTTAATTGACAGATTTTAGTCCAGCTGACTCTTGCACCCGTAGCAGATTTATCTGAGCCTTTCCAGAAGAACCTAGAGCAAAGTTGTTCAATTTTGCTTATTATGGCTTGAGGAAGGGGAAGCTGCCGGCACCAGTAATTAGCAATACTGAACAAGACTGCTCGAACGAGTTCAAGTCTTCCCGCGTAACTCAGATTTTTACCAGACCATAGAGCGAGCCTAGCTTTAATACTTGCAATGAGGGATTCGCAGTCATTTTCAGAGAGTTTGCGAGTTATCAATGGTACTCCAAGGTATCGAACGGGTAAATGACCATAAGTGAACCCTGTAGCTTGCTTGATATGCTCGATGTGACTAAGAGAAATTCCAGCAGTGAAGAACATACATTTTGCAGCATTTAAATTCAGACCAGACATCTCATAGAAACTTTCAAGAACAGTAATGACACCAATTACTAATTCAACATTACCCTTACAGAATATCAGTAGGTCATCAGCAAATGATAAGTGAGTGATTCCTACTTTCTTGCATTTAGGATGATAATTAAAAAGTCCTCTAGTAGAAGCCATATTAAGCATGGAGGAAAGAATATTCATAGAAAGAACAAAGAGGATAGGTGATAGAGGGTCACCTTGTCGAATGCCTCTTGCTCCCTTGAAATAACCAATAAGACTTCCATTGAAAGAGATTGAGAATCGAGCTTGTTTAAAGCAAGCTTCAATCCAATCGATAAATCTTTGAGGAATATCCAAGGCTTTAAGAACATCAGATAAAAAAACCCCAATGAAGAGTGTCAAATGCCTTTTGAAGGTCAATTTTTAAAGAGCATCTTGGGGAGATGACTTTCCTTCCATACCCTTTAACAAGATCTTGTGCTAGTAAGGTGTTGTCAACAATGCTTCTTCCTTTAATGAATGCAGTTTGATTTAAAGAAACAATTCCTGGAATAAGGGGAGTCAGTATTTTACTAGAATCTTGGTAATATACTTGTAAATGACTGAGCAGCAGGAGATTGGTTTGAAATCTTTGATTTTACTTGGATTTGGGACTTTAGGGATAAGAGCAATTGTGGTAGCATTAAAAGCAGGAAGCAGTGAGGAATGCTGGAAAAAAATACTTGATTGCTCTCACTACATCTTCACCTACAATGGACCATGTCTTTTTGAAGAACAGTGGAGTGTATCCATCAGGCCCCGGGGCTTTGTCATTGCCTTGTTCAAAGATAGCTTCCTTGATTTCTTCTGTGGTGACATCTTTGATGAGATTTGAAGAATGCTCTGGAGGCAGTGAATAACTTAGAATATTTTTCAAGAAATTATAGTCACAGCCTTTGACGTTAGTATCTACGCTCCCAATTAGATTCTTGTAGAACGCTATCACCTCGGAGGCCATATCATCGAAGGATTCTAATCTTAATCCTTGATCATTAATGAGCATTCGAATAGTTTCCTTCTTGTTCTTTACAGCAACAGCAGAATGGAAGAATTTGGAGCATTTATCCCCTTCTTTTATCCATTGAATCTTGGCTTTTTGTTTCAAGAACATTAGTTCTGCTTCTTCAAGCATGAAAAGATCTTTTTGAATCTGGAGCTCTTTGTCAATAGGATTCGTTCCTTTTAAAGAGAGCATTTGTTGTTGTTCCAACTCAATTCTCTTAGACTTGACCCTATTGGATATCTCACTAAAGCAAGAGTTATTAAAGCTCTTTAGACTTGTCTTGAGGCGCTTGAGCTTGAGGAACAAGATTAACATCGAATTTCCAAAAATAGTAGGGTGCCAAGACTGTTTTACTACACTCCAGAAAGTAGGATGTAGTGTCCAAAAGTTGAAGAACTTAAACGGTTTGGGGAGGTTAGTAGGAGCATCTTTAGAGAACCATGCAATTACCATACAGTGGTCGGATACGCCCTATGCTAAGAATTCAACAGCAGATTTTTGAAAAATAGTAGCCCAATTGGAATTAATAAGAACTCTGTCCAGCTTCCTTGCAAGGTACAACCCGTATTGCTTATTGCTCCAAGTGAAAATAGGTCCTATGTAAGAATGATCATGTAGGTCTAGCTCATAAAAAACATCTTGAAAATCTTTCATTTCTGAAGTGGGGCTAGGACATAAGAATTCATAGTCGAAGATTCATCAGGATGTAAGATGTTAAAAAATAGCATCCAGGGGAGATGACCAATGTTTCTCTCCAGGAAATACAGCTGCTGCCATAGCTGTCTTCGAATAATGATGTCATTACTACCATAAATAGCAGATAAAACAAAAGGGGCTCCTAAAAAAGAGCCTTTGGCAGTAATGATCTGATCAGACGCTTGAAGGATAGATAATTCAATATTTTTCTTCCACAGTATCCATATTCTCCCATTGACAGCAAAATCATAATTCGAACTAACATGCCAATTTGACAATTTAGAATCAAAAATAGGAATGGATTTCTCCTCTTTAACTCTAGTTTCCAGCAAACATAAAATATCTACTTTATTTTGAGAAGCTCGAAGAAGTACCTTATCTTGCTTTAGAGGATTATTGAATCCTCTAATGTTCCAGAAGCTTACAATCATTGTGAGGGAGAAGTTAGAGATGGCCCTGCACCCCCTGCTGTTGAACTTGTAACTTTTCCTAGCTTGTTCTTCTTTTTCACTTTGAGCTCTTTGACTAATTCAGCTACTCCCTTAGATGCGGCTCTGCTTGTTCTAAGAGGCACATCAATGTTTGCAGCTTTTTCTTCAACAAAGTTTAGGAGTTCATATCTATTACATGAGCCAGTAAAAGAGGCATTTTCCTTGGCTGGACGTCCTCTAGCTCTTTTAGGGAGAGAGTTCTGGGGATTACATGAATCCTCTTTAGAAGGAGGAATATGTTCGGTTACAATTTCATTGCCAGGACTGCCATTAGAAGGTTCTGTAGTTTCTGCATTAGCATCTGCGCAAGTAGGTTCAGTAGCAGTTTCAATATTTTGAGGAGCTTCATCAGGAATTTCAGAAGCAACATGAGTGTGGTTCTTATCAGATCCTTCTGTGGAGTACGTAGTGTTATAATCATCTTTTTTCTTCCAGACTTGTGTTAGGCTAGGATTGGATGAAATTTTTACTAGGCAGTTCTTTTCGTTATGGCCAAACTTTCTACAATTCCTACATTTAGGAGGCAACCAAGGTATTTCAATGTAAATCGAAGTGGTAACATTTCCATTGAGGACTACATCAATAGATTTAGGGATGTCATCATCAACACTAACTTCCACACAGATTTTTACAAATTCCAGTCTGGTCTTGGAGGCTGTTACTGAATCCATTGAGATGGGGACACCAATACCACTTGCAATATAGCTTAGACCCGCTTGGGAATAAAGTTCTAACGGTACATTGTAGAGGTGAACCCAGATTGGTATTTTAGATAAATCAAAATGCAGACGTTTAAGACTAGGTTCCCATTTACGAAGAATTAGGGGTTTGTTGTGTATATGCCAGGGGCCATTTTCAATAATCCAATCCCTAGCTGATTCAGATGAAAAAGAGAAGATATAAAGATTACTCCCGGCTAGACTCACCTGAACTCGGGAACCTTGCAGAGCTTTTGTCCACAATGAATCAACAATCTGCTGCATTGTCGTAAAATTTGGTGTTGGCCCAAGGAACTGCCCCACTAATGATAGTTTCCATTCGGAAATTCCGGCTTCAAGGATCTCTGGGGGAGGATTAATTGTTGGAATCCCGTCTTTGATTATGGGAGGATGGTAATCTAGGGATTGGCTTGAAGAGCTCCCGAAAAGTTTCCTCCGGTCCATCCAAAATGTTTTTTCTTTGAGCTCAAATTTTTGAAATCTCTATAATTATAATTTTATTAAGGTCTGAAATGGGCACTAATTAGATGGTCGTGCAATCATATAAATAATCTTTTGACTATATGAAATTTTTGCATGCTTATGCGCGTACAAGCTATATAGCCAAAAAATAATACAAGTTTCAACTTTGTGATAAGGATCTTACAATAACTCCTAGAGATCTCCCCCTATTTATAAATCGTAATATTCCATTATCTATAATCTTTAACTACATTATTATTAATATAAAATTTACCACGTGTCAAATAATCATTTACCTGCACCCCAATGATAAAAATATACGATTTAACACAACACTAGATTAACAATCAAGACCCATCAAACGATCTCATTGACTAAAGAAAATATTATTTTTTAAAAGGTATTGAGTTCAATTAGTCACGTCCAGTAGCGAATGGAATCTCAAGTTAGGATGAGTATGTGCGCATCTTGAAATATGAATTTCTTTTAATTCGTGACATTTTTTTATTGATTGTGCTTACTCCACACAAAAAAATTGTGTAATTAATATATGTGTCTATCTCAGAAAAATTTACATACATCACTAGTTATATCTATGGAGTATGTGTAATAACAGTTTAACAACATGGGGATACTAAGATCATATACAAGTAATTGTTCCATTTTTTTTAATTATGTTTTAAGCATAACATATCCTAGTGTTAAAAAATCATGATATTGAAATCCAAACCCAAAAAAAAAAAGGAAATGCAAATACACTTTGTTTTGGAGGAAGTTTGGCGCATTTGTCTACTTATTATTAATGGTAAAAGAAATTAACATCAATGCTAAAACCGAGTACATTTGTTTATCTTGTGAAAAGAAGTTGCCATCAATATCAAATTCCATCACATCTCTAGTTCCATGTAAAGTTTGAAATTTGACAAATTCTAATCGGTGTTGGTAATGTCTCAAATATTGTCCAAATTCAGACACTCTGATTATTAACGAATGTATGTAAAAATAATTTAAAATTCTCATATAAATTTCTAGAGTCACCTTAGATGGTGATGCCTAATCAGATTGACTGAGGCACAAAGCTGACAAATAGCCAACTTTTAGGAGAGAGAGAGAGAGGAAATCACATGAATCTAAAAATAAATTAATAAATATAATATTATTTGGGATTACAAAGATAACAACCTCTGGCACCGATAACAGAAATTATCCACAGACCAAACCCGTACTTTTGGTTTCAGCCCTCGTGAATCCAGGGTGAAGTGCACAAACAAAATATTTCCTTCTGAAAAATAATTCAATTATCGAGTAACCCCTTTCTTCTATTCAAACAAATGGTAAACTGTATAAATGGTCTCCGACTATAAGATATTATTTTGTTGAGTCTATTGACGATTAAAAATTACAAAATAGTCTATAAACTATATAATGCTGCTATGTTGAGTTCCTCAGATATTAAAAGTTATAAACTGATCACCTAACTATTCATTATGTTCCAAACTCATCGTTCTCCGTTTTAAAAAATAATGGCAGTCTCAGCTAGATGTTAATATGTTGTCTAAGATACGATAGTCGTTTGAGATTCTGTGTTCAAATTTTATCAAATCTTGTACAACAGATTAACTTTTAACTCAGACCGCCGTCAAAATTTTAACAAAAAAAGGACGAATTTGGAACATAATGAATAGTCGGTGATCATTTTATAACTTTTAATATTCGAAAGACTAAAAAAGTAACATCTTATATTCAAGGATCATTTTGTATTTTTTTAATAATTAGAGAATTCAACAAAACAACACATATAGTTGGAGGATCACTTGCATACTTTACCCCAAAAAAAAAGCCCTTTTTCGGAAAGTTTTCTCTTTAAATAGTTCAAGGTGAATATGAAGTTGTAATATTCAAAATATTTTTATTAGTCGTTGATAATATACATACCCAAAAACGTAACCGCTCAAATTCAATATCTCTTATAATAATAACACTAAATTGTACATTTAAACAAGAAAAGTACTTTTTTTAAAGGAAAAAACACAAAGTTGTACATTTCATGCCATGTGTTTTGTCCCTTTAAAACCATCATAGTCTATTTATGTGTCTCTCAACGGCCATGTCCCTGTCTGCTTGTATTTTCCCTCCCATAAATGAGCCTTTTCCCTTCAATTATTCTTCAAAGTTTAAACAAACCAGCCTCATCTTCCTCTTATTATTACTTAGAATTACATCATATAATTTTGTATTACTAATACCAACACTAATAAACTTTTCCATTTTTTTTATATTTACTTACTAATAAACTTTTCCAAATCCGAGCAACCTATTAAATTTGAAATAGATTTAATATTTTTTAAAATATTCGAATGAAGATATTAGATAAGAACTTATTTAAAAAATAAATTTATTTAAATCTTATTTGGTTGAGTAAAAATAAAATTGTATTTTATTTTAATATTTAATATTTAATACCAAACATATCAATTGAAAGAGAATAATTTTCATCCTTTTATTTTTCTACCCTATAATCTTTCATCATATAATTTTATTTCCACTCTACCAAGTAAAATATAGATGGAAGGCGGTGGCATAACTATTCAGTGCTTGGGAGGGGTTTTGGATCTCTAATTTTAGGTCAAATGACACTTTTGATCATTGTCGCTTTAAGTATTAACCAAATTAAATCATGGTCTCTAAATTGTTGGGTTTAAATATATACTAGATTATTGTTCTTTTGAAGTTAAGCAAATTGGTGGCCCCTAACAATGTTTAGTTTTAATTTCTTCCCTGATCAAATGTATAATAACTAGTTGATATAGCGAGATGAGATATTAGGTTCTTCAAACATATTCATATTTCAAATAGTGGAGGGAGTCATCTCCGTAATAAATTTTTCTGTGTTTGATATAGACTAATCAATTAATAATTCAAATATCATAATCATAAGGCAAAAGAAAATCAAAGGCTTGCAAGGGAAGTATTCTGTTATTAATCATATGAGACACGAGTTTACATCAAATTTTTATTTTCTATGAATATTATTAAAAAATATATTAACTACAATAATTATGAACAGTCTTTTGTGTGTTTTATT